ATTCCCATGTGGTTGACCACAGTGTGAGCCCCAGACCTAATGGCTTGTTTTCTTACTTTCTCTCTGTCCCTCCCTGGTCGAATTAAAAATATAAATGAATTAATAAATAATTTTTTAAATGCTTAATTTTTTTTAACTTTATACCTCACAGTTTTCATTTGGTCTGTTCTTTTTCATATTTTGTTGTTTATACATCTAAATCAGTGTGGCTGTGCTGTCGTTCACCCCATTTCCTATTTTCCTTCATACTATTGTAGATCTTCATAAAAGGGATTTTTCTTCCTCACCTCCAATTCATGATATTTTGGGGGCCATATCTACTTCATATATATCTATTTGCTGTGTGTATATATATACATCTGTGTGTGTGTATAATATATTTGTTACAGACAATGCTACTTCTCACCCCTTTCCCTCTGCCATGACCCCGCTGTGTAAGAACTACTCTCTGTGATTCTGACTTACTTCATATGATTGTGGTCAAAGAGAGTATAGATGGTCATCTTTGTTTGCTGCTGCTATAGCAGAATATCACAATGTGGGTAATTTATTAAAAAATTATTTCTCACAATCCTAGAGGCTGGGAATACCGAGAGCATGGTGCCAGCATCAGGCAAGGGCCATCCTGTAGCAAACAAGAAGGGCAAGTGAGCACCTAAGACAGAGAAAACAGGGACCAGACTTGCCCTTTTGTCAGCAGGTCACTCTCAGCATACTGTTAATCCATTCACGAGGGCAGAGCCTCTAAAAGGTCCCACCTCTTAATACCGTTACAATGAGGATTAAGTGTCCAACACGTGAACTTTGGGGAACACATTTAAACCATAGCAACTATTAATTTTATGTTTTGAAATTTTTCAAAAAGATGCATATAATATATATCTTTTATGCATATTTTTCATTCAGCTTTAAACATATTAACATATACCCATCAAGTTCACTTAAATGGCGGTGTACTCTTCTGCTGTATGAGTAACCCCACTCTAGTCATTCCTCTACTGGGGACACCGTTTCTGCCTTCCTTAGAGCATACTTCAGCCCCAGGAGGAAGCCTCAAATTGCTCTCCAGTGGGACAGCCCCACTCCACCTCCCCTGAAGGCCATGAGAAAGTCCTCAGTGCCACCATACTCACCAGAACTGGATGATAGCAGATAGAGAGATTTTTTTGTTATTATAGTTATTAAAACTATAATAACTATATTGTTATTATAGTTAACATTGTTCATTTTAGATTTCAATTCCTAAAAACAAGTGAGGGAAAACTTCTTTCCGTGTATGTATTGGCTGTTTGAATTGCTTCTTCTGAAATTGCCTTTTCATATGCTTTGTAAAGTGGGTCAACTGTCTTTTTCTTAGAAGTCTCCAGGATTTCTTTGTATGTTCTGTACACTACCTCTGTAGGCTACGTGAATTCTACCTACTGTCTCCCAGGCTCTGACGTGTCTTTTCGCTTCATTTATTGAAACTCTTGGCATAGATAGCCTTTAAATTGTTAAGTAGGTAAACGTATTGGGTTGTCAGGAAACTCCTGACACATTTTTGCATAGAAAAATACGTCATAACTTTCCTGACGACCTAGTATGTTTTCTTTTGTAGTTTGTGCTCTATGTTTATTATTTGAAAATCCTTTCTTAGCTCAATGGAAAAAAAAAAAGATACTCCTTTAGTATTCTGTGCAAAAAGATTTATAGCTTCATCTGTTATAGCTGTGTCCTCACTCTATTAGAAGTTCATGTATGACGGTATCCGGAAGAGTGACCTATTTTTTCCTTCCTCTTTGGATAGCAAGTGTATCCCCTTAATTTACTCACGTCTGTTGTATACCAAGTGCCCTTATCCAGGAATCTGTTTCTAGGCACTCGTTCTTCTAGTCCATATCAGAAACCCCACGTCAGGATCGCACAGATTTAATTACCCGAGCTTTATAGTAGATCTTAAAATCTGATAGACCTTAGGGGTTTTTTTAGAGGCTTTTGCTTTGGGGAAATGTGCGCTCACCAGAAAGAGACAGAGACATGACAGGGAAAGTGAGAAATATCCCCCAGGGGATATGGCCACACCACAATCCATTCTCCTCCTAGGATCTTAGGCATGTACACACACGTTCCCAGCATGAGTTACAAGCCACCAGATCCAGGACTCGAACCACAGTCGGCCATGTGGGAATCCAGCAACATAACCACTACACCATCTGCTGGTCCCCCCTATGTTTTTTTTTTAAATTACCTTGTGATATGTAACACATGCTGAAACTTAAACCATAAATGTCACAAAGTGGACACACTCATAAACCACCGCACCGGCCCTGACCGACTGAGCCAGCCCTGCAGCCTTCCGCCCTCCCTCCTGGGACTCTCCCGGCACCTGCTCTCACCTGTGTTCCACCTTATCATTTTACTACTAGACATGCAGTGCAGAGTTGTTCACTGATGACATGGAATCACAGTCTGCCATCCTGCCTGTCTGGCTTCTTTCTTCCAACATGATTTGGGTTTTAAACTTTACATATTCCATGTGAATTTGAGAATTGGCATTTACATTCCAACAAAATGCCCTGGTAGGATTTTATTGTGAATGCTATCAGCTTTATATATTTACTAATTTGGTGGAAATTGGTGTCTTAGTTTTGTATCTTCCCATCATTGGTGGATGTGATATCTTATTACTAGGGTTGGTTTTGTAAAAAGTCACTTATACCCTAGTATACCTAGTTTTCTCTAGCAATGCCTAACGTGTTCTTTGTGGATTTGTTCCCAAGTATCTTATGGTTTTTGTTGCTGTTATCTGCTGATAATTGTTTTTCCTTTCTAGGCAGTGCAAGTTTTATCACTGGTCACTTTTAAAGATTTGTTTCACTACAAAGGATCTAGGTGTACATTTCATTTTATTATCCTTTTTGGAATTTCATTTTCAGTCTAAGGATTTCCTTTGCATATTAATTCTGGAATGCTCTCAGCTATCGTCTTGTTAAATAGTCCCACATCCCCTATATTCCCTGTGTCTTCTTCTGGAGGCCCTGAGACACGTGGTAGGGCTCCGTGGTCTGCGAGGAATCTGCCAGGGTGGAACCCCCGACCCAGGCTCCCTGTGCCTGCTCTGCCCACTCAGACCCTCTTTGGTTCGTGCCGTCTGTGAAGGAGAGAGAGGGCAGCTGCACGGCCATGCCTGGTGTGAGGAACTGGGTGCTCTCACACACATGTCCCCCTCCACCCCTCTCTTGCCTCCCGCCGTACCTGGCCCCTGACCCCTGAGCCTGTCTGAGTTCCTCGGGACCCTGTGGCTGCATTGGATTCTCCCTCCTGTACGGCCATGAATTCTAATCACTCAGGTGCTTTCCATTTTCTGGTGTGGCTTCGTGTCTCCTCTGTCCATCCACAAAATACTGGTGCACGCCTGCTGGTTCGCGCCTTTGCCCTGCCCTCTTCTCTGTTAGTTCTCTTCCTCGCATTGTCTAGTCCCATTGCTCAAATACCATGTAATAAGGATGGACTGCCCAGTCCTTCTCTCTGCGAACATTACGATTCCTCTGGAATCTCTGAGTCCCAGATTCGTGTCTCAGCTATCCACTTGGGAGCTCCGCTGAGATGCCTCACAGGCACTCCCAAGCCATTCCTGCATAGCACTTGCTATTTTCTCTGCCTCGAATGTTCTCCCAAGTCTTCAAGTCATTGCATCTGTCATCGTTACAACCTTGGCTCAAGTATCACTTCCTCCATGGTCTCCCTGACCACCTAGCCTGAGGCTGGTCCCTGCCGTGCGTCACTTTATTTCCGTCATAGGACATGTCTGAAATTGTATCGTGGTCACTTGTTTACTGGTCTATTGGCCATCGTTACGTCTGTAAAAGCATGACTTCATTATCTTGTCCCCTGCTATGGTCTAAGTAACTAGAACAGTGCTTGGTATATAGCTCATGCTCAATAAGCCATTGCTCAGTTAATTAATACACTTTTATTTATTTTTAATTTATTTATTTATTTATTTATTGGAGAGGTTCTTGCTATAGGGCACATGCGCTCACCAGGAAGACAGAGACAAAAAGCGAGAAATGACCCCCCGGGAGGATGGCCACACTGCAATCCCTTCTCTTCCATTCTCCTCTCAGAATCTTGGGCACGCATGGACACACACCCAGCATGAGTTTAATCCACCAGGTCTGGGACTCGAACCGCAATCAGCTACATGGGAGTCCATCGACAGCCATTACACCAACTGCTGGTCTCACAATACACATTTTGTTAATGAGACATTAATGTGTACTTTTCTGATGTAAGACAGAAAATTGTCTAATGTAGTATGAATAACTTCTTATCCTAAGACTCATATTCACAAACTTAAAGTGTTTGTTTTGTCAACAAGGGAATAGCCGTAGTCATTTTTAATCTAGAAAACCATAGGGCATCTTGAGACTTCTACCACATAAGTGACCTTAAAGGTGTAAAATGGGTTTGTTAATAAAGAGAATCGTAAATTGCTCATTGATATGGAAGGTAAAACCGAGGGGGGGAATCAATAAAACACTATGTAAATAAAAGCCAAGATTTTAGATTGTCCTTATTTCTAGGTAAATGTATTAGGTGACTGGGTCAGATGATTGAGCATCAAAGTCACTTTGTGCCGGTATCTGTTCCTCTAGTGGCCATTTGCCAATAAAGGTAACCACAGAGTTAGTACAGGGTGAAAGTGTTTTGCTAATCAGATCTCTCTTTTTTTTTTAAGTGAAGACATTGTTTTTAAAATGTTTTACCAGTACTTTGAGTGTTGAGTGGCTAAGATTTGTTGTCTCCTATTTTAATAAAAACAACTTCGTTTTACTGAGTAAAGTAAGTGTTTTGTTCTGAATACTCTGTAACTTGGTAGGGATTTTTGCTTATCACCTTACCACTGCTAAACTTAAGGCAAATGCCATCTGCGAAGCGGGCTGCTTGATTTCTACGGTAAATCCATTCTGTACTGTTTTACTGCGCTCGAACAACCCCGTCGGACTTCTTTCTTCCAGATTTCTGGGATGTGCTATGACAGCCAAGTGCTACGGTTTCAGCAGGTGCTCTGCATCCCCAGGCGGGTGGCAGAGTTCTTCTCCTGGACGCTCGAGCCCGTCTTCGCGTCCTCAGAACCCACCAGCGAAGCCAGAGTCGGCATGGGCGCCACCGTGGACATCCAGAGACAGCAGAGGATGGAGCTGCTGGACCAGCAGCTGACGCACTCACAGTTCGCCCAGGCGCGGCGGCACAGGCAGCAGCAGGTGAGATCAGAGTGGTGACAGGCGCGGCGACCGAGGGCGCGTTCCCCCCGGGAGGGCTGCGTGCTGGAGACTGCGTTTTCTTGCCGAGCGTTGTGAGGTGGGCTTGATGTGCTTCCAGGCAGAGCGTAGGTCTCTGACAGGGGCTGCTCAGCGTTTTTTCAAGAGGTGAAACATAAATGGCAGCTGAAGGGTTGGTCAGACTGGACATTCTCGCTCCATTTGCATTCAATAAGCGTTATTTCTTAGAGAAACACCAACCTAGTTCACAAAATAAGATATTTATCTGTTTTCATAATCTTGTAAAAGCCACAGTGTCTTCCTGTTTAGAGTGCTAATCACATGCTTTGGAATGAACAGCAAATATAAAGCTTCTTGATTCTCCTGGGGTAGATATGAAGACAATCTGAAGGTAAGAAACTTTTCGAGAGAACAGCGAATGAGTCAGTCAGTAGGTGCGGTGCTTTCCTAACCTGGTCATCAGCAATCAGAAATGTTCGTGCGTTCACCTGCACGGCTGAACCCAAACAACCCGATACTGCTTTGACTCAAGGGAGTCTGGGGAAGGAGGGTACTCTTCCTCTGGCAGAAACCTCAGGCCCGCTCTTAGGGACGCTTCTGTGATCCAGCTCGCTGGGCCCGTCCATTACCCTTCCCTGCCTCTGCCTCCTTTACCGTCTGGAGTGGCAGGAGGCAGTACTGTCACCTCCTGCCATCTGCCTTCCTCCTGCTAGCACTGGGTGCGAGAGGCCCATCTGGAGAGCGAGATCAGGCCTGCTGCCCTTGGAGCCCCCTTGGTCATGCGGGTCCTGGAGTGTACGTCCGGGGTTGGAGGAAGGGGGCCCTTATTAAGGGCTGCGTCTACAGGAGAAAGAGCCAAGGAAAAGTGGTTCCCACAGAGGTATTAGAATTGAGGTGACTCTGGAACAGCCATGAAGATGCCCATTATCCGAAGATGGAGGACAGGTACCACAGCCTTAGAGAGGAACCTGGAAGCGTACATGAGAAAGTTACGCTCTGGGTGGGGTGGGGTGCTGAAGACAGGGCACCCAGGACGTTCTGCAAGGAAAGAACTAAATCTGAGGTGCGCGTAGGTCCTTGACGAGACCTCGTGTTTAGGTCTTGCAAGGAAACTAAGAGAAGAATGACAGTGACAGGGATGAGAACTCCAAATGACCAGTGCCAGCAGAAACTGGGCGGTAGTGAGTGTAGGTGTTTTCCAGGTAGAAGGGGCGGAGCTTCTGCTGAGACAGGAAGTCGGAGATGCCAGAGCTTCTAGCTTAGCGACAGGATGGACCATGATCTTTCCATTTCACCTGAATCAGAAGGACGGATTCGGAGGAAAACAGCGCGTCTGATGTAGCCTTGAAATACTTGGGGGGAGTCTCCCAGGTAACTGTAGATCTAGTCTTCGTGAGCAATCTAGAGGAATTGTGTTTCTCAGGTTGGCTCCTCCAGGAAGATTTTTATTTTTATTTTAGCTTTTTGTCACAGGGCACATGAACTTGCCAGGGAGAGAGATGAGAGAGACAAGAAAGACAGAGAAGGAAAGTGAGAAATCACTCCCCAAAGGGGAGGGCCACGCCACAATCCTTTCTCCTCCAGTCTCCTCCCAGGATTTTGGGCATGCTCACATGAGTGCCAACCTGTTTCAAGCTGCTGGGTCCGGGACTCAAACCACATTTGACTCTGTGGGAGTCCAATACCTTTACCACTCTGCCACCTGCTGGCCCCCTCCAAGAAGAGTTTTACACATGAGGTTTATTGGCAAACGGTGTCAGCAACAACATTTTGGTGGGGGAAGGACCGGTGAAGGAATCAGCAAGGTCGGGCAGAGGGAGAAGTTCTGCAGTTGTGGAAGCCTGGGTGGATCTCATGGAGAGAGCGGCTGGGAGAGCCCTCCTGGGTTGTCCAGGTTGGGGCCAGGGGGCACAGTGTTTAACCTCCCTCACTTCCCGCCACCAGTCACTGGGTACAAATGGCAGATCCTAGGCAGGTGGGCTCTCCTCAGATGGGCCTGCCACAGAGGAGGTCTCAGATGCCAACACCCCTGCAGCAACTGGAAGGTTGGGCTCTGCAGTCCTGGAGGAGTCCCTGCGGAGGGATCTGCACAGCACTCCCGCCTCCACCGCAGACCCCCTGCTGCTTAGATCTTGTCTCACCTGCATTCTCCGAGCAGCTCGGCCCACTTCCAGTGGAACTCCTTTCCTGGGAGAAGCCTTCACGGGGACTGTTACCAGGATGACCCGTGTCCCCCTCTACTTCCTTCTAGAGCTTCCAGCGGCGAGAAGGAGGAGAGGTAATTCTGGGGTTTCCAGTTTAGATAATAAGGTATCTATTGTGGGCTCGAGACCGCAGTGCAGTGACCTTCTCCCTCCTCTACTGTTCATTCTCGAGTCCCCTCACCCTTGGCTGGAAGGCTTGCTTATGGTGAGGGAGAACCACATCCCTGTCACCTGATCATAAGGGTCCCACCCCCTGTGGGCAGCAGGGGTGAGCTGGAGAAGAGGTTTTGGTGCAACACAAGTGGGAACTGGGGGGCTGGGGGGGTACCCTGCTCCTGCAGCTCACCTGGGCCCACCTGACTTGATAACTTAGTGGCTCTCCTGATGTAGACCACGTGCTCCCACTTGACCTGCAAGTGGCCCAGCAGCGGTATTCGCGTGTGTCTAGTCCCCTGCTGGGAATGTGTACCTTTGCCCAGCTCCCCAGGGACCCACTCTGCAGGCCACCTCGGTGGCTTGTCACAAGCTGCACCCGATGTCCTTCCCGCACCGCAGATCTGCCCGTGGGCACAGCCCAAGCCTCAGTGAATGAAACAGACCCAAATTGCTGCCCTCGGGGAGCGAACATCCCCGCCAGGACGGGTGACGTCCCTGCCTCTGTTGGTGGTGGCTCCCACTGCTTGGCAGGCTGCCCCATGTGCACAGGCTGTCCTTTCCCTGCAGAGTCTGAATTCAGAGCAGAACTCAGCCCCTGGGCTCTTGCCTTTACGATGAGTGCTGGATAGCCGAGAGCATACTGCTTCTCCGTAAGCTGAGTTCTCACATGCCCGGACAGCCTCAGTAGCTTAGGCTCCAGCTCAGCACCGTCACTCAGCATGCGTAACCTTTGTCTTTAAGCTTTAATCAGATACATATGCTAGATCGCCAAGTGCAGAACGCTTCTACCAAACAGCTACTGAAGAAGGGCCCCGCGGCGCCTATACCTGCAGAACCGGCTTGGCACAGTGACGCTGGGCTGTGACTCCAGGGGAGAAGTTTCCTTTCATTTATGTTTCTTTTTCTGTTTGTTTTTGTTTTCGAGAGGTTTTTACTATAGGGTGCGTGTGCTCACCAGAAAACCAGAGAGACAGAAAGTGAGAAATCACCCCCAGAGGGGATGGTCACGCTGCAATCCCTTCTCCATTCTCCTTTCGGGATCTTGGGCACGCACACACACGTGGCTGGCATTAGTTTAAGCCACCAGGTCCAGGACTCGAACCGCGGTTGACTACACAGTCCAGCAACATAGCCACTAGGCCAACTGCTGGTCCCTGTTTTCATTTATTTTTTTAACAAGTATGTACATAGAGCTTATTACCTGCTAGACCGAGGCTAGGCGTTGGGGACACAGCTGTAAGGTGCCACTGGCCTTCTCATTATGGGGCTCAGCTCCCCTCTCTTTGGCACAATTACTGTTTTCCTCTATCCATGAAAAGACCACGCCATTTATCGTGCCAGTCATGTACTGCGGACTTTGCATGTCTTCTTTCATTTATTCCCTCGTCAGCCTTGAGATACAGATTTCCCTCTGTGCCCCCAGAAGCTCAGAGGGGTGCTTGCTTGGATCCAGGGTCAGGGCCTCAGGCCTCTGCACCCGACCTCTACATCGTGCCGCTGCTAACGCCAAGGGCTCCTTGGTGATTTTCTGTTTTTTCCTTTTTCATATGGCTGGCAGAAAACTCAGTGCCAGGCTTAAGGCTCAATCAGAGCAACTGTTTAACCCACAGTTAGAACTTTGGCTGCCATTGTCTTCCGTATGTTTCAAACATACCATTTGCCCAGCCGTGGTGGCCCACAGATAGCACCACCATTTGGGAGGCCGAGAGCAGTGCAGGAGGCACAGGTTCAGTTCTGAGGCACAGGTTCAGTTCTCAGGCCAACCTGAACATGCGGCACAGCTGTGCATCTGCTTAATCCTAGCTAATTGGAGGACTAGAGCAGAATCGTGGCACAGCAAGACCCAATTAAAAATGCCCCTCACGAGACCCATGGATAGCATAATGGTACATCACTGGACTCTGCCGTAGTCTACCGCAGTTCGACTCCCAGATCCGGTGACTTGAAACTCATGCTGGGCATGGGTGCATGCCTGTCCAAGGTCCCAAGAGAAGAATGCAGGAGAAGAGATTGTGGTGTGGCCATCCCCTGGGGAGGGGGATTTCTTATTTTCTGTCTGTCTCTCTCTCTAGTGAGCACATGGGCCCTGTAGCAAAAATCTCTCTCAAAAAAAAAAAAAAAAAATTGCCCCTCATTCTCTTCTTCTCTCACACAAAGATAAAAATTACCTTTTTGTCTGCTCTCTTTAAAGCCTATCTTTACTGTAGGCAATCTCAAACTGTTATTACATTTAAATATGTCTGTTATTTGTTGAAAGATGATTGGTTTTTCATTTGTCTTTAATAGAACCCAGAGTTTATGTGGCCAACCTCTCAATTACTAATTACTGTACTGAAATGACCTGTCTGCAGTTGCTAATTTCAAGGATTCCAAAATAACACCGAAGTCTTGTTTCACATATTCATTTAGATTTCTGCCCGCTTCTGTCATATGTCGCAGCCATCTGGCACCTGCTCAGTGCTCGCTGTCACCCACCGCCTGGCCTCTCCACTGCTTGCAGTGCCGTCTGACTGGGCCGGCAGGTCTCTGCGGCCAACCTCAGAGAACTCAGGCAGAGTAGAAGTCATCGGGGACTGTCTGAGGACAGTGAAGTACTCACTAAGGTGCCCTGGGCTGTGAGAC